CGCTCTCAATTTTAATGGGGGAGGGTGTAACGGGGTTACACGAACCGTAATAACAGGAGTGTGTGCGTGTCACACGAGATGTGCATAATGTGACTACACGCCCAAACAAGAATACGGGATGGGGCGAGGTAGCTAGTAGTTATGCATGTATTAAGATTTTACAATATATATTTAGGAAAATCTAAGCTTTTGGCATAAGGATAAAAATATAAATAAAAAATCAGTAGCGATTTTGAACAGAAGTGTTCATTTGCCTAGGTTAATGCTTTTAAGTACTTTTAGAGGCAGCGGATTGCGATCCGCTAAACTAGTTTTTGTTTCTTGTAAAGAAGAAAAGGTCGGTGACCTAAAGGCGCTTCCTCAAGCGCAAAGCTACGGCAGCCCCGCTGCAGATGGAGTCTATCGCCGAAAGAAAGGGTTCAAGGGTTAAGGACATGTAAAGAGATTTAGCACCACCAAAACGTGAGTGCACTCGCAGTGTCAAACATATTGAGTATGCTTGCTTGCGTCTGGGATGGCCAACAATAGCGCAATATAAAATTACTACTTTTTTGTGCTTGACATCGTAAGTGAGATCTGCACAAGACCTAGCCGAAATCTTGTTAGAAAGCTACGAATGATCTCCACCCTACTTTTGTTAAATTGCAGCAATATCAGATTCATATGTATTGATTTCCATATGTCGAATGCCTCGACAGGCCGGTTGAATGCAGGGCCCTGTGCAAGACTGTACCTGTTCTGTCAGTTTCCATTATGTGGCTTCACTGGCTAGGGATCAAATAACCACTAAAATCTGAGCTTTTCACTATGCTAATGAATTCTCTATCCATGCTCCATGGGTATGCGAGACACTAATACAACAACTGCAAGACCAAAAGAAGTTGATTATTAAGTAAGACACGCAAATTGCTACAGTAAAACCTGTCTAAATTAAACATGTTGGGACTGGGGGACAGTGTTTAATTTAGAGTGGGTTTTAAATAAGGGAGGGTAGCATAATTATCAAAAATTTCCTAATCCAGGCTGGGTATATTCAAACAACACCATTCCCAAAGAGCCCTACACGTGATTTTTCTTGACTAAAACATCGAAACAGTTGAACTGTAACAAATACATTGCCCAGCAAT